TTCTTCACTTTAATGGAAGCACAAATGATAACATCAGTAGCAAATTTACTTATTTAACCACAAATATATAATCAAAATTCATGCACAAACTAACTTTTATTCAAAAACTACTCGATTTTATCGGATTAATAGTTGGGAAAAACCTTTTTGACTGTTAAACGAAATCCTTTGGACCTTATCAAATATAAAATTCTATAAATGCAAACAACCACACGAACGATAACTATTAATATGATTGGAAATATAACCTATTTTCTGTACATTGTGAGACATTAAGTAAATCATAATAAATTTCAAATTGAATTAACCCTCTTACCCTAATTTAGCAATACATCCATGTAATTTTGATTTCATTTTCTATGCATCCTTTTTAAATAAATTTAATACAATTCTTTGATTAATTTAAGTGCTCTGTTAATCTCGGTAATTAGATGGCAAAATCTATTGATTGATCCTAGCTTTGACTCTCGGTTACATTTTTGAGTTTATAGCGCCGCCTTAACTTAGATTTATTAAATCCATGTTAAATAGGCAGTAGATAGTGTAGATAAGCTGTCTTTTTCTAAATTTATATAAAATAATTAAAGTCTGGTAGTAAATTATTCCCAGTTGATAAAAGTAGCCATCACAAAACCGTTAAACTTTATCTAGGCTTGCCTCCTAAACGTATTCCTCTCCAAGATTGACTTCAGTCTTTACTTCGCCCGGGTATTATGAGTTTCCTCAAAGAGAATCAAACCCTGACATCGCTAAATTCACTTATGACAGGTAAACGCTAGGGTTGAATGTTGCGAGTAACAGAGGTTAACAGAACTAAAGTGAAGTCCAAGGAAGGTGTATCCTCCTCTCCATTATATCCTTATATTTTTATTGTCGTTAAGGCAAATTTAGAGCTGTCAGTACAGCTAAAATCGTTAATCATATTCTTAATTAATAGGTTTTTTATCTCATATTAAGGAGTTACTTATATTTATTTGCATATGGTCTTATTCAAAATATATTGAATTCTTGTTTATTCGATAATTTGATATTGGAAATACCCTAAGAGTAACGTCTGCCATCTGACCCATTATTTAAATCATATTATTTGCTACTTTGATAAGTTGTAACTCAGTTCGAACGATCCCACCTCTCAATGATGATGCTGACTACAATGCCAGTGAAACGTTTTGGAGTGTACCAGGTATATGGTCCGATGCTGGAAATCCCGAATACTATGGTAGAGGACAGATGACTAGGTTCGTTCCACAAAGTCTCCCTGACACTCCAACCAAGTTGCGGAAATGAGGTCGAACTAACACTACAAGGCTAAAGGATACTCCAATTAAACAGAAGGCCACACCATCTTGGTCCTCATATCTACGACCGATATAACTTTAAATTCATCCGTGAGTGGGTTATATGAGAAACGCTCATCTATATATTATCTTCCCTAAGCATAAATGCAATTCTTTTATGTATATATATATGTATATGAATATATATACGCAATAGATAATCTGTTACTGTAAAATTCATTTTGAGCCTAAATTAACTAAGTTGAAATCTTGCTCTAAATAAAAAAAATTTTTAATGTTCACAAGCATGTTAAAAGACTGATACTTTAAATTTTTTAATTGTTAATTTGGCACTTATGCCTAAATGTATTAATTAACTTTACTTTGTTATAACGTGGCCATAGGCGCTAGTTGCCCCCTGTTTTCGCCCCGTCTTTAAAGCATGTCTTCTCAGCCTCATAGCCAAGAGATCTGCAAGTATGGATCGCTAACATATTACGGCTACTGTGGCCTCGGTGGGGTTCTGAGTTGTGGAATAACCCATACAGCGATTGTCCCCTTGGATCTTGTTAAATGTCGCATCCAAGTTGATCCAGCTAAGTATAAAAATATCGGAACGGGCTTTCGCGTAACCCTTGCAAATGAAGGTATTCGGGGGCTTGGCTTGGGCTGGGCTCCTACTTTCTTTGGATATTCCATGCAGGGGCTCGGGAAGTTTGGATTTTATGAGGTTTTTAAGCACGTGTATAGTGGAATGCTCGACGAGGTTCGTTCGTGCTTCTCTAATTACTCCTAGGAAAACGCATACATTTATCGTTCACTGGTCTATGGTTTAGCTAGTGCTAGTGCGGAGTTTTTTGCGGATATCATGCTTAGTCCAATGGAAGCTTTAAAGGTTCGTATGCAAACTCAGCCTGGCTGGTGCCGAACTTTACGTGAAGGCCTTCCTCGAATGATGAGGGAAGAAGGCCTTTATGGCTTTTACAAGAGCATAGTTCCACTCTGGTCACGACAAATACCTTACACTGTGATGAAATTTGTCTCCTTTGAGGCAATTCTCAAGACTCTGTATGACAGCTGGCCTCGTCCACGAGACGAGTGCTCTTTCCCTGAACAGTTAACTCTCACATTTTCTGCCGGATATCTTGGTTATTCCTTGATTTACTTATTTTTTATTTTTTTAGCTGGTGTTCTCTGTGCAATTGTCTCTCACCCTGCTGATACACTTGTCTCTAAACTGAATAAAGACCCTGACGCTCGCCTGGGTGACCTGGTCAAAAGACTCGGCTTCTTTGGTAGGCTAGGAAATTTTTCCTTTTGTTTTTTTCTATATTCATTTATTTGCTCATTTATTCTTATTCTATATTTTAGGCCTCTGGGGTGGCCTTGGCCCTCGTATTATTATGATTGGGACCCTAACTGGTCTTCAATGGTTCATCTATGACGGATTCAAGGTGGCAGTCGGTCTCCCTCGTCCTCCTCCTCTTCAGATGCCGGAATCACTGCGGCTCAAACTTGAGCAAAAGGATGATTAATTTTAATTTCTAGTCTATAATCTATTAGAGGTTTTTCGAATGCAACCTTAGGTGATGTATTTTTTGTACACAATAGAGTTGGAACTACATTCGCTATTTGTTTTCCGTTACATCTATCTTCATAGTTTATTTAATTTCATATGCGTTCACAATGCCGGTCTATAAAGTTGCCTGCTCTTTTGCAGTCTATGTTTATTCTTCCATTTTATTGTCCGCGAAAAGAGAGCATAGATGATAAAATCAGCTTAAAATTTACTTATTTAACCACGTGGGCAATCAAAATGCTGAATCTACTTTATCGAGCTAATAGTTTATGCACCTGCATGAGCAGTTCTGTTAATCCACTTTCGGTCTTACGGATTTGTCATAAATTCCCCAAAACTGCTATTGCTCACTCTGTAATCATATTTTGTCATTCCATAGGCCTTAACATTCTGGACTTGCTATCTGTGCATTTGGAGAGTTTAGCCTATTCGTTTTCATTTATTCGGATGCCACCCTGGGCTTTGGGTTATTGGGAAGATGTAGGCTTTGCTTACCTGAAGATGGCTCGACCGTCCAGATAAGCCAGTCTCTACAAGTCGATGAGCGGCTTTCGGAAATTGACCCGGGCGCCTCATACCGCTGTGACCGGTTCGGTGCCTGATTTGCGGTCACATCGCCTGTTACTTATATTGTTAATATCACGGAAGATGCATCTAGTGCTTTGCTCTATACAGGTGCAAGCAAGTGGTAGTTGTCTTTATCGCTGTTTCTTTTAAACCAAGTGATTGATAAACTTCATTCGGGTGCACGAAAATATTCCCATTATTTTACTTTGTATTGATACAATGCAAACCCGGACCCATCTACACCCTTGGTGATCACAAAATCCCCTACCTTGTGTCTGGTAATATTCATCAAGATTACTTATCGCACTTTGGGATCCTCCAATTCCAGCCGGCTTTGCGTGTGTTCTCTATATCTCCGTCCGATCGTCTTATGGCCCAAAGCTAATCTTGACATTTCGGCAGCTGGTTTAAGCCGATTGCCCCGATCCGTCTCCGTTGATAGGGATTTTTCGTGGCTTGCATCTTATCTGCTGCTTGCTGCTACTTTCATGATAGATTGTTAATTTACGCATTTGGGGCGTCACTACCATTTTTTATTATTGCCAGGAAAACTTTGGGATCGGGTTGCTTTTTGCATGATCTCTGCTCTGATTGGACGATGCTCAGGGTCGTCGGTTCACATCCTTTTTTGTATTCAAAGCCTTAATTCGCTTCGAGTAATTCTCAGCCAATCCCAAAGCCTCTTGGTATGCACTTTTCATTGGACTATATATTTTGATCTGAGCTGGTACACTCTTGTTTTTTATTTGCGATCCTCAATATTAAGGACTACGGCGCCAGTGATGCAGGCTTTGTCTAAAATGCTTGTGGAGCGCTTATGTTTACTTTGTTTTAAGTATGGGAAGGGGCATTTTTCAGTATGTCCTATCTGAAAAATAGAGATTTCTTGCCCTATATACGCCTGGGCGAATTCTTGCTTTGCCCATAAGTCAGTGGTTTTAAACTGATTTTATTGAATTTTATTCGTTGTATTTATGGACACGTGGCGAGTTATTGAGAAGTATCTTCATAAAGGCGTTCTTACTAGGGGATTTAATTCCTATATAAATAGGGAAATCGATTCCTTCATCGACTAGTTTACCTGTTTGATTGTATTTGTGGGCTGACACGGTTTATCTAAATGCAACCACCTTTCTGTTGCTTTAGTGTACATGGATAGATGTTTTAGTACCCAGTTGCACTTTTTAGTGTGAATGTGTACTTTCTGACTTTGCATTATTAGTCTGAAGTCTGCCCCACTACAACATTAGGTTGAAATATGTTGGTTTTCGGATTCGCACACCAATTAATCTAGTGACATTCGAATGGTGTGATTGGTCTCGATGCATCCCTGAGGTGCCTGTTGAGGTTGAAGTTGAAGTCTGGCCTGGGTTGGAAATTATGGGCTTGGCTGCTTTGGTTGTTAAGTTCTGGAGATCCAAAACAATCTAGGGTGGGGATGGCTCTATTTCTCTGCTCCTCGCCGACCAATTAACTCGGAACTAACTGTGGGCAGACTTTAATCTCGATCTAAAGTACATAGTCAAGTAGTTGATGTTGTAGAGGCAAAACCTTCGGCTACAGTGAATCATTATGAAGGCGGAACATGCTTTCTACATTCGTTATAATATTGGTGATCAGATTATGGAGGGCATTACTCGGTGTACGAATGGTTCATATACTTGATCCGAGTTAGTTGGACGTGGATTCGCTTTGAAAATACCTATATTTGGCAGTAATAATCTTTATGAGATGTATTCATCAC